GAGTTTTTTTTAATAGAAAGTTATAATAAGAAGGTATGAAAGTAGAGAGAGGGATGAAAAAAAAAAAGAAGGTAAGAAATGAAAATTAGAAAATTTATGAGATTATTTTTACAAACGTTTCTTACCATTATTATAGTAATTTTTTAATATTCTACAATATTTTCACAGCTTTTACTACTAATTTCTTAGCACTATTTGCTTTTGTTGTCGTCCAACTTTGGCAACCCTTTCTTTTACATACTTCTCTTCACATGATCTTTCTGCATGACAAACGACTTAATGGACCGAAACATTTCTTACCTACAACTAATATTTCCTTTATACCCCTTACCTATTTTAATATCCTTTTCCTCCTTTTTACTGTTTCCTTCTGATATTTTGCTTTTAACCTTAACGGTTTACATACATTCCCCACTCAACAATCTTCTCTGGCCTTCACCCCTTTCGAATACTGGTCTGCTGCCGCTGGCCGGACCGTTCTTTTTAATTTGTATTTCCCGACCTTCCTCCCTCCCGCCCCGTTACTTCGTCCTTTGTTTTCTATTCATATGGTCCTGGTAGGGCCTCCACGGCTCGTACTGTCTTTTTTATAATGGCATCTATTTTTTGATGTGCATTTTTGCTGACGTATTCGAAACAGCAGGTCGGACTTAAGAGATTAGGCAGTACCGTCGGCATTTTTGCAAAAAAACCTGTACAATCCGTGTTGGATTTTCCTTTTTTTTTTCATCAGAAATCGCTTCGCTGTTGAGGCTAACTGCGGTAAGAATATGTCTTTGTATAACTTGTCAGATTAAAATTTTAGGAAACTGAAAAGCAAATATGAAGTGTCCGGTATTCCGATGCTCATTGTGATCAAACCCGATGGGCACGTTATCACCAAGGACGGTCGAGCTGATGTCTCAGTAAGTTGGAAATGAATTTGCTGCTGCCACTGCTGTACATAAGCAGATCCAGGACGAACTCTTGAGGAGGAGGCGAGAGGGAGGGGGTACCGACGACAAGTGGTGGAAGAGGAGGGGGAAGCTTTTTAAGGGGGAGACTGACGGGGAGTGCGGAAGAGAGTTTTCTTCAGTTTTAGCTTTAGGCTCAG